CTTACTGTCTCCCTTGCCTCTCCTTCTTCGGCCAACCTTACGAAGGAAAATTTTTATAGCACCCAACCCCCGTCCCCCCCGCTGCCCCAAAGCCTCATGGCGGGTCAGAAACTCCCTTCGCCTCTTCCCCCACTTCGCACGAGAGCCGCCGAGTCCTCCGTCGTGTCTCTGCGGAGGAAGAGACAGGCCGAGGACGAGGAGGAGGAGGAATCGCGGGCGGCGCTGGACCTGAGTGCGCTGGTGACGACGGTGGCCAAGAAGGAGCTGAAGGATTGCGTCCTCGGGATCGCCACTGATCAGGGCTTCCGAGATTCCGCCGTTCTGGAGGATCTTCTGCGGTTGCCCAATCTACGGCAGCAGAACATGGAGAATAGAATCTGACTCTACCGGTGTTTCTAAAACCTCGCCTCCTTCAGGTGGTGGAGGTGGCGGCGCCGGAGGACTTTTACGGGCTTCTGTGGGAGGCGTCGAAGTGTCGGGGATACATCTTCCTGCTGCAGGAGCCGAGTCCTCTCCTGGACTTCGTTGCGGCGAGCGAAGATCCGTGGGACTTTGGGGGCAGGTTGGTGGTCCCTTTGTCTTCTACGTGGTATTACTCTTGTCATAATCATCATCATCAAAGATATTACCATGTCTCGATGACCTTACTCCGGTGTTACTAAAACAAGGTCTTTTAATCGAACTACACTGCAGGAGCCGACTGGACTTCGTTGAAGAGTAACCTCTTGTCATAATCATCATCATTATTATTGCTATTATTATTGTTGTGATGTCGACTGACGATGAAAGTAACGACTGTAATAATGTTGGTGGTGAACTTAACCTAAATGCTATTACTTATACTACTGATCATAATTATGATTATAATGATAATAATGATAATAATAATAATAATAATAATGATAATAATAATAATAATAATAATTATAATAGCAATGATAATAATAACAATAATGATAAAAATGATACATGTTATCAATGAAAATAATTACAATTATTATATCATCGCTATTGTTACTAACATGAACATCATCGTCGCTATCATTATTATTGTTATTTTCATTGTTTTTATTATTGTTATTATCATTAGTATCATTATCATTTTTATTGTTATTGTTTTTATTATTTCCGTTTATTATTATCATTATCATTATCATTATTATTATCACTATCATTAGTAGTAGTAGTGTTATTGATATTATTTTCATTATCATTATTATCATTGTCATTGATATCATACTCATCATTATTATTATTATCGTTGATATTATCATTACCATTATTACTATCATTATCGTTATTATTTTCATCATTTTTATTATTATCATCTTTGTCTTTATTATTAGTTTTATCATTATAATAATGATTATTACTTTTGATAATCATATTACTACAACAGCAACAACAACAATAATATGATAATGATATTAACAACATTATCAATGTCATTTTGATTGTCAATATGTTATTATTGTTATTTCTATCATCATCAATATTATTGATATTTCTATCATTATCGCCATTATTTTTGTTGTTCTCGTTGTTGTTAT